TTTTTGTATGACTAATTATTGATGAAAATTGAGATTAATATATTATTATATATTATATGATATTGATAAGTATACCACTTCAATTTGTTAACGCTATAAATGAAAACATTTATTTGAAAATAATAATACTGCAATTATGTATTGTTTATGATTACAGTATTAAAAATTACTGTCAAAAATCATTATTTAGTGGACATATTTGACATTCCAAATCAAAGCGGTAGGAAAAGATTCAGTATGGTATAACTCTTGCAGAACGTATGGTATGGCCCATATTTTTCCATACCAAGTCACACAAAATTTTATTCTAGATTTAAGCATTGGTATACAACACTTATACAATACAATACCATACGTTTTGCAAGAGTTATACCATACTGAATGTCCCTATACTCGTAAATTCAAAAACAAATATGTAGCACACAAAAATTAAAAAAAGAATTACAGCAAATCACCCTAAAGTCGTAAAAGACATAGATCGTAAAACCGTAATGCTATAATTATTTACAGCCTATAAATATTGCGAGCGTGCAATCCGAGTTATTTATTACAGAGTTACCAAATTTGGCATATCTTTAACCAATAATGTTCAAACTAAAATCGTTATATACGACTGTACCGCTTGATTCGAATTATTTCTATTATTATTATTATTATGAATTTGAGTATTCGAATCACATTGAATAAAATGAATAATGAATAATTCGATAATTCGAATAAAACGAATAAATAATTCAAATAAACGAATGATTCAAATAAATGAATAATTCGATAATTCGAATAAAATGAATAAACGATTCGAATAAAACGAATGATCGGATAAAACGAATAATTTGAATAAACGAATAAATAATTCGAACAAAATGAATAAACGAATAGTTCGAATAATTCGATTAAAACGAATAAAACGGAAAACGAATAAATTAAAATGAACAATTCGAATAAACGAATAAACGGTTCACAAACATCAAAAAATTATTAAAATAAGTTAATACATTTATCTATATATATTTGTATCTTTTTCTAGGCAGAGTAGACAAGATTATAATATGAGTTGTTGAATGGACAATTGGTAGAAGAGTTATCTAAATTAATTGATTCAAGAGCTCCATATATAGATTCGTCATTTGAAGAAATTGTAAAGATATAATTTAATTTTGCCAAGAAAGTTATAATAGATTAAATTATCTACAAAGATAGATACTGTGATTGTTATGTTGATAATAAGGTTGAAATTGTCTTGCAACAAAATGAAAGAATTTTCAATTTGTGGGCGATTTTTACTGATGGAATGAATTTTGACAGATAATTTTAATATTAAATATTATTATTATTATTATTATTATTATTATTATTATTATTATTATTATTATTATTATTATTATTATTATTATGTTATCGGCTAACTATTACTATTATTATCACTATTAATATTAATATTACTACAATCCCAATCAATTAGGTTAGATTAAACTGACTTTGGTTCTATTTAATCCACCTCTGAAAATCTTCATTGGCTGTGAGTCCATTTGTAATCTTCTAAATGCTTCGTGTATATGAGATGGTTGTAGAGGAGTTTGTTCTGGTGGTGGCTTGGAAAATAGATGAATTCCATTCTCGCCATCATAACCATTTTGCAAATACATTTGTCTAAATTTATTCAACTTATTATTTAAATTATTTGAGGTAAAATCTCGATCTGTTTCCTGTTTGACCAATAAAGCAGTTTCTGTCAATTTGCTAACCATTTCAAATGTCAAAAATCCCAAAATATCAATTATATCATCGTTTGGTTTCATGTCAATATAGGCTGACATGTTTGCCCATTCTCGAAACCTTTTCGCTTTACGATATGTGAATGATGCTTGTCTACACTCTGAATAATGAACATATTCATCTCGTGTCATTGCCTTTGTAATTTCATCGGCATCCTTTAATCGTTGTACCGAGTCATTATACGCATCTAATTCTTCCTCGTCTTCCTCATCTGAATCTGCATTCAAATACTCTGAAAATGAATTTACCAACTCCCATGACAATTTGACTTTCATTTTACGTGCCTTGGCTGTAAATATAAATATATATGTGTATATGATTAATGTATTTTGCTCAATTACATATATACTCTCTCACACTAACACAAATATCAATAATTTACCTGCATTAGGTTCTTCCAAAATTTCTTCAGTTGCGTCATTTCCACCTGAATCTTTGGCATTTTTTCTTACATCTTTCCAACTCAAATAAGTTCGTAATCGATTAACTTTTGCTCGATCATGTCTAATTAAAAATATTAAATCCTCAGCACTCATGTATCTAGACCCACGTTTTGCCGCTTGTGCTGCTGCTTGAATAATCTATATATTATATTATATTATATTATATATATGTATATATATATAAAAGATTGATTTATTTAATATTTGTTTTAAAATAATCAAACATTCAAACAATCATCCAAAGCACGCACATTTTTTAACATACAATTTCGATGACTTGTGATCTTACAATATCTTCAACAAGTTGAGTTGTCTCTACCAAAGGTTCAGTAACTTCACCAAATACAAACATCATTTGCTGTATTTCTGAAGAGTATCTATATTTTGAACGATCCTTTTCCTTTTCAAAACACAAATCATAATTAAACAGTTGTTCGTAAAAAAAATTTATTTTACTTCATTTTATTATTTTAAAACTTACCATGTTGAAAAAGTTAAAATTTATAACATTTCACACAATTCACACAATTCACAAAAAACCAACGTCTAATGAAGTTCCCTACTTTATTAAGTAAAAATATTGCCTAATACAATTTTATAAATGATCCAATATTTTTTATTCCTCCATATTATCACTCACTGCATGATAATCACGTTCAATTTTAAACGACGGGGATTTTAAATCCACATAAAAACAATATGCGATTTTTTTAGTATGATGAATGATCAGCGAGACTTTAGCTTTAATAATAAATGTTTTCAATATATTCTCGATTTTACATTATTTTCATTATTTATACCTCGATTTATAATATAATTAATCATACAAGCAAAACAATTATCAAAATCTCTCATGGCCAACACACACTTAATCGGTCTTCTATTTTGGAGAGCGTGGTGGTGATAGCGATGGTAATTGTATAAGCATAATTATGAAGTAGTATTATACCGGTATCTTTCCAATTATCTTTTTCAATAATTCCATTGTAGCCATATTTTATCACGTCTGTTACAATATTCATGATAATTATGCAAATGCATTTGATGCTATTATTCATAGTAAATGATTGCATCGCTCAAGTAATAATATTACCAAGATCATGCGGAAATGAAAATTTGAGGGGAAAGCCATATAATGCCCTGACAAGAAAATTGGAAAATAAATCCTTGGTATCTTTGTTGGATTTTAATCCGAACCCTCTTTCCATGCAGAATAAGGGTTCCGTCACCTTGTCATCCAAGTAGTAGCGGAAAAGTTTTAGTGGTTGAGTATCTGCTTAGGTCTCTGGGATTCCCTTCCCGATTGTATACAATTGCAAGTTGTAGAATTCCTTAAAAAACCATTTCCAAAATGAACAAATAATATTGAATCCAACATATTGAACTTAGATGTCAAATTCAACAGAATCATTCCCTTCTCGTTATCCTATTTAAAAAACCTTTTGTAGTACAATGATTAAAATTCCAATAAATTTAAAATAAACTTTAAATAGATTTTGTATTAGTGTTGATTTAATAGATATTTATCAACACACTTTTAAGTCGTTTATTTTCCTGCTCTTGTTATCCAATCTTTGTTACCTTTTCGATATCCATCTAAGATCTACTTGGCAATAAAAAGTTACATAGGTAAATAAATATTTATCTCTTTTCACTTAAATATGTAATAAAAAAGGAAGAAACTTAAATTAGCGACATGCAAAATTAACAAAGATTTTAGAGGAATCTGGCAGCAAATAGAAAAATGCCAAATGCCCAGAATTACTCTGTATAGTATCTTGTTATATGAAAATAGAATATGATTAACATGGGTATATCATTAAAAAAAAAGTCAAAAATTTATACCTTACATTGGATACATGCATGGCTTTTGATCTGTAATCTATCTATCGCTACGTGAATGGTGCCTTTCGTGATTACTTTCTAGGGTCAAGGATCTGGACATAAGAAAGAAGCTCCTATTATTAAAAGGCTTTGGATGCAATTTCAATAAATCATAGCCCTCCAAGCCCACACTGAATTTTCCATAACTAACATTTTTAAATTCTTGATGGATGATGATATGAGCATAGTATAGGTTCGCTAATTCATAATGAAAACATATTGTAGAAATCAAAATAATAATTACATATACTTTCAAGATCAAATAAAAGATATATTGCCCAAAAATTCTCCATTTTTACCTTTCTTCCAAAATTATTAATTTACAATATTGCATATCGCTTTGTCCTTCTCCTTCGCAATCGTTTCATATGCTTTTGATAATTTTCAACACTTTTACGAAAATCTGCCGATGCATCATCTGGATTTATATTCTTATAATCTAGTCCTGATGATTTCAAGCTCATATTTGCATCTAATACCTAAAAGGTTGATTTCCATGAAGAATTGAAGTATTCTTTAACCGAAAGACAGAAAAGAACAGGTGCTTTAATTATATTGATATGTGAAATAATAAAGACCAAAATATTGACGGTAAATATTTAAATAGAGCTTTATATGACTGATCTTCTAAGTGATCGAATGGAAAAAACGTCGTTCTAAAAACTGTTGAAACAGAATTGCAATTTGGTATTAATAAAAGAAAACTAATAATAATATAATAATGATAAATATTATAATATCATAAGATTGGGAAAGAATGATGGGCTATATAATCAGATTTGGGGGGGGTATTTATTTGTTTATGTATTTTTAATTTTTAATTTTATAAATGACAATATAGAAAAATAAAAATAAAAAAAAATAAAGCTTTATAATAATAGAACCTTGGAAAACAAAATGCCAGATGTTAGTGATAACTTGGTAAATAAAAAAGTTTAAAACAATTATTTTTTATTTTTTTTTAATTCAATTGACGTATTTTCTTATTTTAATTTATTTAGTCAGCAACAACAGTTATAACAGCAACATCGCCAACAGTTGTTACTAGGCAGAAATATGAAGAAGTTCAAGCAGAGCTTGACGAATTGATGAAACAAAGAGAAAATCTAGAAGAAAGTTTGGTAAGATCACATTTTATTAGCATTATTAACACTTTAGTAGCTATCAACCACTAACGAATGACACGCACTCTCTTTCATACTATTCATTTATTAGTTGACGCTTGAAACCAGTATTTATTCATCTGAAGGTTCATATTTAGAAGAAAGTGGGAATCTTATTCGTGGATTTGATGGATATTTGAAACCTTCCTCGCAACAAGATAAAAAAAAGAAAGACATATCTAAAGAAGCTCGATTATTTTCTAATTCAAGTTCTTCTTCTAGAAAGGTAAATTAATTAACTAACGGAATGAAATATACAAATCAATAGCATTCATTTTTATTTAACTAATTTAACTAATTCAAAATTTAACTAATAATCCCAATTATAATTATTGAGGTTAATGGGTCAATGGCAGAAGATGAAAGTTCCAGTTCAGATGAATATAATAAGATTATTGGTAGATCATCATTTACTACTTCAAATAAAAGATTTAAAAGAACCCATAAAAAAAATAATAGCAGCGGCAGTAGTCATAGTAGACAATCCTCTCTTTATAATATATATAGTAATAGTAATAATAATAATAATAGTAATAATAATAATAATGGCGTTTCACCAGAAACTGCAAGATTAAGATTAACTATCAGTTGCAAAGAATTGAAAAAAGAAAAAGATGAAATGGAAACGGAAATGTGAACGTGAGAATTGCAAAGATGTAATTTAAATTATTTATGTAAAAATAATCATGTATAAAATAAATCAGATTTTATTATTTAATCAAAGAAATGATAACGTAAGCAAAAGAGATCATCCTCTTGTTTCAAATGGAAATAGGATGAGCCTATGCGGTTATATATGAAGGAAAATTCCTTGATGTGGATATCAAGTTCAATGGTGACTTCAAATCACTGATCAACTACTTCTCAATTACATTTCAAGTTCAATGATAGCTGGAAAACTGCCAGTTGAATATTTTCAAGCCTCAAATTACTAAATTAATCATTTCTTAATTACATTCAAGCTCAGCGAACTGCCAGTCTATTATTACTTATATGTTTTCAAGTTCAATCAATGTGAATGACTTATTCGGTTTGTGAGCCAGCTCATGCAGAGCTTTAATGGTGATCATGAAGGTTGCCAATCAAGCTCAATGGTGACATCAAAATCTAAATCAAATTATTTCTTTTTCAAGTTCAATGGTGATCTCAAATTATTTATTATCAAATTCAGGCTCAATAATGATGATAATGACCTCACAACTACTACCCAAATGATTTCTTATATGGGGTTTTCTAGCAAAAGGTAGCTTGAGTGCTTTCTTAATTTTTGCATAATATATTACAAGGATTATAACTGGTGAAAAAATCAGGTTATGATTATTTAAAAAAATGGGTGATCAGATTAAAATTGATCTATATACAACCCCATATTTTAGAATATTCTTGAGATTTTTTTGAAAAGTGAACTTTTCTAATATCAGCTGTCAAAATACTAAAGCAAAAATGATGGTTCTTTTTTATATTTGGTAAAGTTCTAAAATGATTTTTTAACATTGAACCAAAGTCATCCTAATCCATTATTGTATCTATATACTCTTTATATTTTTATTTTGAATTGAATAAATGAAAATAGCAAAAATTACAGTAATAAATTTTGGAGTCCAAAAAAATCAAATAATTTAGCTATAACCCATGATATAGATGTTCTATGAACTTCAAATAATAACCAAATTAGCTTGATGATACATGAAATTTATAAATATGTAAAATTACCCATTTAGAATATAATTCATTTCCTCATATAGATAGATAGATAGATAGATAGATGAAAGCTCAACCTTCCATGCCTCCACCTAAGTCTAAAGAATGAATAGTGCAGAGTAATGCGAATGTATTTGTGTCAAGAATTCCTCTCAAAATGTATAATCAAATTTGATTTTTGCAAGTCTTTTCTTTGCTTGGTCTAGCTAACAGAAATGCCTTCCTCCAATATCTTGCAGTGCTTTCAGTGGTGTCACTCTGCTGTCTGTCGAGTTTTTGTTCCTTCAACCACAAAATTTCATGTTGAGAAACTTAAGACTTGACCTGTTTCGATCACATCTCTCTAGATCTTACACAAATTCTACACATCCTCCACCTCACCACCTGCCCACTCCAATCAGAAGAAGCTTATAAATGTAACTGCAAAACGGCTTCCGGTATGAACATATTTGTTGATTGTTGCATTTACTCAGTTGAGTTTCTCACTATTCGCAGACTGTTATACTGACAAAAATATTTGTAACCGGCTTCGTTGATTTCATATCAATGGACCTTCTATATACTTGGTATCAAAATTGATGTAACGAACATCTTCTCAAAGAAACCGTGAAAAAAGGCATTCAACCTGAAACTGATGTTTCAGATGATAGTTGTAGAACACCTCAAGACAATTTTAATTTTTCATCCATATAAAAATCAGTCATTTTACCATGTTGTCTGTGATGAACACAGGATTGGGAAGACAACATTGGCTAGAATTTCAGCAAAAGAAGTTGGGCAGTGTGTTATATATTCCTGCGAATCAGGTGAAGCTCTTGGGAAAGCTATTAATTTCACATTCGAGGAACAGATTTCTTTTACAGGACAACAGATACGAAAAATATTAGGTGGTAACATCAGGAAATTTCCCCCACCGTAATATTATGTAAAGTTGTAATATTTACATAAAAAATTATGTAATATTTACACTCAATGTAATAATTACGGGGCCGTCGTAAACTTATGTCAATCCACATCAGAAAAAGTTTCCTGATGAAGTTTTTCATTACTTATTGTTGATAATGGGTGTTTTATCTTTACCTTTTATCTTGTAGATAAACCAAAGAATTCCGAATGGGAGGAGGCTTTAAAGGCCTTTAGGCATGTTGGTGAACACAGCACAATAAACCTCCAGTTATCATTTATGATAATGTTAGTGATTGGCTCACAAAAATCTGGAAATCCTTGATATCCTTCAGGATGATGCTAAGGATAATGCCGATGACAGAAGATGCATTGTTGTGTTTGTCAGCGGTGAAAGAAGTGTTCTCAAAGAATGGAATGTAAATATTTAACAGCTTCCTCTTGAGTGGGAAGATTAATATGGTCTTAGTCACGTGCACATGGCAATTTTTGGCACTCATTTGTATCAATAGACTTTTTGGAAAACGAATTATGATCTTTTAGGCTTGAAATAGTGCTCGCATTATAAGTTACTTGTCTAATTTATCTGTTCCTATCCCTTCGAATAATATATACATATCATTATTGTGCTTAAGCAAACATGGTCTGATTTTCTCGCCAGTTGTAATTATATTTTGGTCAGAGAGGTCCCTAGCCACATATTCCCAGAAATACATAAGGGTTGCTAAAAAATAGATTTTTGTCTGGTATATATGACTGATTGACCTCTTTTTATTATAAAAATATATCTTTTTGAGTAACAACCCTACAGATTTGGTTACACGTGTTTTTAATATGTAAAGAAAACAATGCCTGTTCATCAATTGTGTTATAATTGATATCAGATATCATAAATTTTGGTCAGAGAGCCTCAGAGGTTGGTTTTACTGGAAAAGATCTCATATGACCTATGACCTGCTATAAAGGCTATATGACACTGAAATGACTATGTTAAGAAAATGTGATATGATAATCCATCCATTATTTGATGTTTTCTATATAAAAAATTTGGCAAGGAATAATTCCGAATGAAGCTATTTGTAAAAGTTTCCAAACTGGTCACACGTTTTTTTGTCGATCATTTTATAATATAAAAAACGGATCAAATTAATATTAATATATATTGAGGTTTCAAATATTTTTCTTTCATTTAAACTTTTAAAAAATTTTCAAAATGACATCAATAGATTTTTTTATTAGAATAATTATGTTAACGTTCCTTCACCCATCCTTTGTTCTTATATTCCTTCCGTATATTTATTTTACTGGTAATGGTATAGGTACTAAAAATTTCATATGGTCTAGCGTTTATACTGGTACCGTTTGTTTTTGGTGGTTTTTAGGCTACATTAGTAATAAGAGTAGAAATGGATGGAAGACACAAAAGATCGATTGGAATGATGAAATTGTAGTGATTACTGGAGGTAAAAAAAAAAAGTTTTTTTAAAGTAAAATAATATCCCAAGTTTAAACTAATTTTATAATTTAAACCAATTTAGGATCGAGTGGTTTAGGTGGTTTATTGGCAGAAACATTGGCTATTAGAACCGTGACAACTATAATTTTAGATATCAAACCACCAGAAATTGAGCATTGTAATTTTCATTATTTTTTTCAATTTTCAAATTTATGATTATTACTAATTTTATATTTATAAATATATACAGCTAATGTAATATATTATGAATGTGATGTTTCAAAATTAAAGAATGTTGAAGAAGTGGCAAAAAAAATTATTGAAGAAGTGATTATTAAATACATCTATTAATTAATTTAATAATAGTCATCAAATAATCATTAAAAAAATAATTAATTTAACTTGTATAATGATAATATTTAGGTAGGAAACCCAACCATTATTATTAATAATGCTGGCATTGTTAAAGGAAAGACCATCTTGGACGAATCAGAAAACGAAATAATCCAGCAAGTTTATTATAACTAATTCTTATGATTATTTTAAAATCAAGATTATTTATTTATCAATTTTTTTATAATAAATTTTTAGAACACTAAATGTAAATTTATTATCATCATTTTGGACAGTCAAGACTTTCCTACCTGATATGATAAAAAATAACCATGGTCATATTGTATGTATTCGATTATTGATTTATTAATATTAGGCTATGATTGATTATTAGGATTATTAATTATTATGGTTATCATTTGCTTTTAGGTATCAATTGCATCTGTAGCTGGATTTAGTGGCATTTCTCAATTAGGTAGCTAACTAATGACAATCAGAATATTTTCGTTAATCTTTGATCAATCAACCAGTCAACTAATCGATTATATAATTTTAAAGGTGATTATTGTGCAAGTAAAGCAGCATTAATCTCATTTCACGAGACATTACGATATGAATTGGATACATGGTATGTTCATCACATACACGCACATATATACATACTCCTACTACGTTCATTCATACGCTTATATATTTATTTACACACATGTTAGCTATAATGCAAAGAATGTACGTACAACGTTAGTTTGTCCAGGTCTTTTGCGAACAAAAATGTTTGATGGAGTGCAAGTCGAATACCCTTTTATTACACCACCCTTGGCACCTTTAGATGTAGTAAAAAGGATTGTCACGTCATTAGATAAAAATCAAGGTGAAGATATCCTAACACCTTATTATGCTAATCTGATGCCTTTATTAAGATTCTTGCCAAGTTTCTTTCATGATTCGCTTCATAAGGTATTTGTTGTTGTTTTTATTGTTTGTTTGTTGGTTGGTTTTAATAAATAAATAGATAGATTTTTAATAGATTTTACCAATGTCATTTATAGGCGTTCAAAGTAGATTATGGAATGAAAACTTGGAGAGGAGGGGAAAAAAATGATTAAACTAATTTTATTTTTTAAAAAAACTTTGCATATAACTATTTATATAATATATATATATATATATATACAAATTCCAAGCATATACAATAATAAAGTAAAATTTACAAAAAATATTATATAAACGTTAACTTTTCTCTATAATTAAGGGTATAGAATCCGATTCCTCAACAAAAACAGTTTCGCCTTCACTAGCAACTTTACTTTCTTCATTAATAACCACAACGTTATGTTTAGATACTCTTTTGAGAAGATCATCTTTAATAGGATCCTTGATGGGATTACCACCTTCGTCAACGTAGACGATTCCTTCTTTAAAAATTTTTTTAATATTTTCTCCACCAACGACACTGCTAACCACCATTTCACTACTGGTTATATCTCCTCCAATAATAGAACCACCAATGTTACTACTATTACTAATTCTTCTACTTCGAACATCGTCATCGCCGTATGATATTATTTCTTTTCTTGTTGTTATATTGCCTCCATCACCAAACATACTACCATCATCGTTAGTGTCAACACCAAAATATTGATCGCTTTCAAAAATAACATTTCCACTTGCAATACTACGAGTACTAATAACAGGATCAGTTGTATTTTTTTTTTTAGTTCTAAAAAAACTTGTTAAACTAACTTTTCCTGAAGTCAATTCAACATTGTCTCGTGATTTTCCGTCATCTTTTTCAGCACCACTGCCATATTCATCAGCATCTTGGTCACCCTCGGATTTATTCGGCCTATATCTCACATATTTAATCACAAGATAAATTATCCATAATAAGTTGAATGATAGAACAATAGTAGTAATCAAAAAAGCGTATACTGATATCAATGATGGTTCTGTTTCCACCATTATTTGATAATACGCCTAGAAAGAAATCAGCCAATCAAGTAAAACATTAGTAAACATTAATAGTAATAATCATATCATTATTATTAATAACGACATTAGTAAGTTGCTGCTTGTTACCTGAATAAAGAATTGAGGAATCTCTTTAATTATAAAGTTTACCAATCCAATAAAATAAATTAATCTACGACTGAATACCGAGTATGATGCGCAAAATGATTCTTTACTTTGAAAAGCACGTGAAGAAAGGATCCTCAACGAATAAATATCAACAAACGATATTCCAGTAAAAATTGTTGCAACAAAAATATTTTTTTCCAACCAATTCCTAAAACTTTCTGATTGATTTGATTCTTTAATCATTATAGATAATCCATTTAATAAATTTATAATAATTGGTATTATTATTGTTGCCATGCTGTTTGGGGAAAATAAAATAATTAATTTTTTTTATGAGCAAAAAATCTTGGAAAAAATTAATAAAAGATTTTTAAAAAACCTTGGAATAAAAAGAATTTCCAATTCAAGACCATCGAATGTTATGAAAGCTATATTTAAAACCATGCTCACGAATGAAAGTAAGAATTTAAATATCGACCCATAATCACCCTAAAAATAATAAATATAATACAGTCAATTTAATTTAAACAAAAAAGAAAATATACTTTATATAAAAAAAATATTATTTTACCCGACGATCCATGCAAAAAGAAACCAAAAACACAATTCCAACTAATGCAACACCTGTAGAAAACCCAATAACCGGAATAACCATTTCCTCGTTAAATCCGAAATCTAGTATTCATCGTTCATTTATCATTAATATCGATCAATACACTAATTACTAAAAGAATAAATATAAAAAAAAATCAATACTAACATTTACGTTGGACATCAGAATCTAAATATTTCGTGTATAAACCTTGTGGAATTGGTCCATTGTCAGTAGCGTTGATCAAGGAATAAATATCATCTAAAATATGTTCCGAGTTCATCTCGAAAGTATCATTTGAGCGCTCGATTCTGATAAAAAAGGCCAAACGATGTTCTTGAAGATCGTTGGTATCGTATGTATAAGTTTGTAACGAATTTATTCTTGCAGGTGAAACCGGAATCATATTGGCCATTTCTCTAATTATATTATTTATAAAATCATCTTTTTGATCAACAGCTAAACTGTTAAATATATTAGTCCCATCTGTATTTAAACGAAGTCGCGCATCAATTGGTCCTGAAATTTGATTTATTAATTTTATTAAATCAATCAACTTAAAAAATATCCAATTTATTACAATTAAATAATGAATATATTTTTATACCGGTATTTGTTTCTTCTTCTGTTACTGGGCCTATATATTAAAAGAAAAGAAAATCAATTTTATAATAAAAAAATAAATCATTTCACCAAAAAACCCAATCACCAGTTTTAAATTTCCAAACATTTTTTTGAATGCCTTCGATTGGATAATGGGTTTCGTTAGCTCTGACAAAATCAGAATCAATAGCAATAAAATAATCCGTGCTGGGTTGATTAAATGTACTTTGCAATACTTTGACAGCTACAGTTAAACTATCAATACTCAAATGACAAAAATCTGAATGCGCTGAAATCGTTAGCCGGAGATTATAACCATCTTCGGTCAATTGATAAATATTGAGCCTGTTTATTGAAAGTTTGACCGGTAAGCTATATGTTATGTTTAACTCGGTATTTCTATAAGGAATTATCGAATCAATTTCCGGGTATATTTGATATATTTTTCCAAGATCTAAAATGCAAATTTAAAAATTTTTTTTTTTTTAATACGAAAAAAAAGATTTTTTTTGACCAAAAATAACCAATTACCAGTTTTATTTGTTACGGAGGACGGATTCGAAGAAACCAAAGTCCAAGAAGACTGTTGAGTTTGAACTACGGCGACAATTGTACCATTTGGAAGAATATCATACGGTGAACCTCTTGACATAGTTTTCATGGGTTGTTGTAATGGCCTATATCATAGTCATTATTATTGATATTAACCATTACTAATTATTTTTACACGCGTGTATTTATTTATTTCCAGTGTGATAATTACCAAGGTCCAATGTAATTACCGATTGCATTTAGAATGTATCCGTAAATACTTTGACTATCAAGGCTTTGTCGATAATCATGATAATTTAAAAGATATCTGAATTTATAATAATATAAATTACTTGTTTGTTTCCAAAGAAAAATTAAAATTAAATTCCTCTGGAGATGTTAATTTTTAATTACCCTCCATAAATCAGTGGAGTGATGGTTATTGCCTCGCTATCATTATTCATAATCGGTGTATCTAAACTTCCAATTTTTTTCAAATTTCTAATAAATTAATAAATTTATATTTCAGTAATTTTTTCAAAAAGATATTTACTGACTTCATTTTTAAATTCATTCTAATTACCCGGAAGAAGTGAATGAAATTTTTAGGTTATAAGGTTTCGACTTGTTAGCTCCTTTAATTAAGAAAAGTTGACATAAATTATCTCCAAGGCTATAGTCAACATTACATTTAATGTAAAGAACATGTAAATCTTGCAATGGACTATGAAATATTAAATTTGATTCCGAGTTTCTCAAATTGCTAGTTTCAGGAATTGCGAGAAAATTGGCGTCAATTCTAAAATTAACTTTAGTCGGGTCGATTTCAATATCATTCAAGCATTCGTTAGTAAAAACTTGTTGTGGCTGTTGTGGTGGTGGCGGCGGCGGTCCTTTCGGCCTTTGTCGTTTTCTCAGCGGCTTGTTAGTATTTAAATTTATTATAGATCGTGTTGTGACTAAACAAAATCCTCCGCCGGCTAACGGATACCCCGAGAAATTTATTTCTTCAATGCTATTGTCATTGCTGTTGTTGTTGACATCTTCTATTATACCGTTATCTGTAATATTTACGTATGGTTGGTTCGCGTTTCTATTAAATTATTCAATTAGTTCATTGAATTGATTATTTATATTAATATATCTAAAATTTTTATCACGAAATACTTTTTTCGTTTCGAACAAAAAAATTTAAATGCTCACGGCATTGTAAAATGACTCCAAATAATATCATTCGTATTGCTTTTATAGCCAACGTATAAAAATCCATTTTTCTTTAAATATTTAGAATAATAAATTGGTCCTGGTGGTTGAACGAGTCCATCCCGACTCACAGTTGCAACATTTAAATAATTATTACTTTTTTAAAAATAGAAATAATCGAAAATTATTTAGTATGGGAAAATAAATGATCATCACAAAATTATCTATTATTATTTTACCTCCAGATACTTCCTTTCCAATCTATGAGTAAACCATATACACTTGCGTTTGGAACCTCGCTAGAGTTTAAATATGCGACAAAAATATATTGTTCAACTAATGGATAAACATCTAAATAATATTGATAGACACCTTCTGAATAAATTTTACAGAAATTAAAACCAGGAATTTCATTGGTAACATCAATATCTAAATTAATTAAAGTTCCATTTGTAAAATACAGTCGGAAATATAAAATTGGTTGAGTGCAATTTTCATTGTTGAGATCCAAATGTATTAAAATTGTTCCATCCTCGTAAGTTTTAAGATCGTATGCTATTAGGTTATGTTGAGTTTCGGAAAATTGAATTGTGCTATTTAAACAATTTACACCATCAAGGAAAAAAATTATTTGCATTAATGAAAAAAAAAATAGTAATAAAAGTGAAGGATTCTCGCGAAGGAAATAATGATTATTCTTGGGATTCTTGGTGCGAGAAGAGTTCTCGGGTTTAAAGGAAGGAACTTGGCTGTTAAAATTGTCAGAATTCAAGCATTTTTTGTATTTCATTATGTGATAAATAACAAAAAACTCAAATTTAATAAAAAACTCGACTTGCTTGAAAAAAAAAAAATTATATTTCTAAGCCTTTGTTTGCAAAATAGAATTTCTTGATGATGGGGGCTTTTCAACCATCCCTTCTAAAATAGATGTGTGTAACGTGATAGAAAACGGGCTGTTATTATTATTGTTATTATTATGTGAATTTCCCTCAGGACCTCGGATAATCATATTTGAACTGGTGTGTAAAAATTGACAATTTTTTTTTAAAGGACTGACTGGTATATATTAGCATTAGTGTTAATATGTAGATTTGTTAGAAAGATGGAGTATCTAGTTTACTCTCTATTATATATAATCAACGAGCCTTCTGCCTGTCTCGTTATGGAATTGTCGATCATCACATGGACAAAATTTTAAAAAAATTTATTATAATAATAAATAATAATACAAATGTTCAAGTTTATTTGTGCTTTATCCTCTATGTGACCAATAAGTTGATAATAATAAACAATAAATAGAGCTGTCCAGATTTGTCTGTTTAATAATTTCTACTTGGTTGTAAATTACCCTTATTTGTTGTTCAATACACAAATTTAGTTTTATATTGCAAATAAAGTTCTTTATTTGAACAGACAGAGACTATTATATGACTTGATAATGCCGGTAAAACGGTAAATTAACAAAATTATTTAGAAATAAAAAAAACTAAAGATTTATTTATCAAATATTTAAAGATTATGTTTTAAGGATGTGTTAAATCATTATTTCTTGGTGCAATGTTGTTTGGCAATAAACCAGTAACTCCAACTGTTAGTTTAAACAGTAAGTTATTATCATTATATACATATTATTTTGGTTTGCTTATCATTAATTAGTTTTTTAAATAAATTAAAAAGTAACTATTTAGTTGGAAAAATGTATCGAGATTAATTTTTTGGACTTTAGGAGGACAACGAGAACTTCATGATATACGGGAGAAATATTATAGTGAATGTCACACGGTATTATTACATTTCTAGTAGATTCAAAGAATTGAACAATGCAAAAAAACATTTAGTAATTCTAATATATAATTAAAAAAAAAGTGCTAGTAGATTTTTTTCTCTCTCTTTTTTAATATAATTAGAAAAAATAATTACAAATGATGAAGTAGAAGGTCTGCCGGTGTTAATGATCGTCAATAAACAAGATATACCTAATGCTCTTAAAATAAGAAATTTTCAATAAAAATGCTTTAAAATTGGGAGCAAGAGATTTACCAATGTCTGCTTTGGAAGGGTAATTAATCAATCAATTATTATTAATATATAAATATTATCATTGTTATCATTATTACTAGAGTCAAGTGAAGCGATAGATTGGCTATTCTTAGGAATACAACATAATAAACAAAATCGACCACAAATACTTAAATAACAGTCTTTTTATTAACAATAAAATTATATTTTACAAATTTTCAATAATGAAATATAAGTTGATGATATACATATACATATTGCTGTACATATAAATTCAATACCAATTCTTTTTTTATCATTATTTCAATTGGTATAGTTCATATACAAAATATTTACCAAGAAATTATATCAACAAGGATATCATTTAGTAGCCGAGAATGATTTTACTGCTGGCAATAATATGACTTTGATGTGAACAAATCCTCATAAGAATTTAACTGAACCTGATTTTTTGATATTGAGTAGACACATTTCAATTGCTTAACAACCTTATATTTTCGTAATTGTTCTCATAAGAATTTAACTGAAGCCGATTTTTTGATATGGAATGCATGCATTTAAATTGCTTAACAACCTTCTATTGATAATCCTTATAATGTGTGGTCACATGAGGTTGTTCCAAATAAATATTGCGATATATATATTCGAGTCAGAATGATAAAATCATAAATGGGATAAAATGTACAACAAAAAATTCATGGTGATTTCCTTTTTTTCACTGAGACAAAACGGTTGATGTTATATGGATGAAATATTATCTCAACTGAATCATTATCAGAGGTATTCATTATTTCACGTGATTGTAATTCTGAAGTTGACAGTGTGTGAATGATAGAGTAAATGTTCTCCGGTTCTGTATGTTGGATTAATGGATTGCCCGTTCAAATAGATGGAACGAATTCTTTGCATTCCCAACAACATTAATTGTAAAAATCAACAACATACTTTCCATTGCTGATTTTCTGATAAAATTTCATATATACATTTCGTTAAATCAATGAGAGTCAGTCTGTTTAATTTTCTATTATTTAATGCGAAAGAATCTGGTTGACTTCGAGATATCCAAACTCGATAAAATTATGTGTAACAACCTTGTAATCTGGTCTTCGTGCGTTTTTACAAGGATCTTTTCGTTCTGTACTGGCTAAACTTGCTTCATCCCCTGTTTTTTTCCAAAAGCACATTAGTTTCAAATAACCCACGCCACATATTGTATAAATTCTCTCGTTGCAATGTCTGTCAATGGCGATATGACCTTGCATACATATGACCCTTCATTTATACTAGCTCTTTTGGCTTTGTATATAGTTTTGCATTGGTGCCACAAACTCGATGGAATCTGGTTTGTCAACTCCTGCAATTTTTCTAGTCCATCTAAAAGAATACCAAATGCCTTTGACAAATGACACATCAAAAAAGTGATAAACAAATATTCCAGCAATTACGGTGGCAACTAGTGTATAAGTAATTAGTTGGGTAGTTTCAAAATTGTCCGGTTTAATGGTGACAAAACTAGTGCTTAACTGTTGGACTGTGCTAGTGAGATTACTCGGACCTTTCAGAAGTCTTATCAAGGCATTTCTCCTTTTCATTTCGGATGAACTCCTCACGTGTAATAGTAACCTTTAAAATCTTATTCGTTGGCAATAAGAATTTTCTGCTTGATGACTTTAAAATCTTACGTGACTCTTCTGCTATTCCCGTAAAAGGCATTGATCTGTCACTCAATATTTCATAATGGTAACCATATTCCACATTTTGCTTGCAATTTGCCCTACACACTTTTCACATGATCTTCAATGTCAAACATTTCCCAAGGGTCTTACTTATTCCAGTAATTACTTGCACTTTTTGTTATTAACTTTAAAAATTGTATATTAATTCTTACTTTTATTATTTTTGTGATAAAAATAGCTCATTGCTTAATTTTCCTAACCAGGAACCTCTAATGATGATATATTTATTGTTATAGGCGGACTATTACATTCATATGCTTTTGAGCTTCATAGTGATCACCATAATAATAACAAAACAATTTTGTGTTACGATTTTATTTTCTATTTTCTGTCAATAAATGATGCGTTTTTGGCATTAATCATCCACAATTTATCATTCATTTTATTTTATTTTATTGGATAAATCATGTAAAAAGTCATGTTATTTGTAATACTTCAAGAAGTATAAACATGCTTGAAATTTCCTTTAGTGTAAAATGAATGATCTTAACCCACTAATAAAAATAACACTTTTATGTAAAAATAGACTTTAACTGTGATTGATAAAGCTGGTGTGATTAATCCATAACCCGTCCTAATGATTAATGGTTTAGCCAACTTTCAATTATTAGTTAGTTCACCCCCCTTATAATGGAGAGATGGTCCAACAACTATCATTACACCATCATCAATTTTAATAAATGATCTTAAAAAAATCAAAAATTGTAAGGAGATATAAATATGAAACATTAACAAATGTGCCTTGTTTTTGTTTACTAATTCTGATTATGCTGGGATACCAATATAATGGTTGACTGAAAAGCCAAGGACCTTTGGTGGTTTGGATTACTACCAATTACCAATGATTGAAAAAATTGTCACTTTGTTGTTAAGAATAATTATTGGTTTAAATACATATCTTTGATGATGTGATACTTTGATTTTTGCTATCCATCTACAGAAAACAATTAGGGTTGTTGAAAAAAATCAGAAATGTAGTTATTTTTGAAAGGCCAGGCAGATTATAATGTAACCCTTCCACACATAAATTGAATTTTACATCATGATCAACCTTTAATGTTATTAAATATGCAATGATGTGTACCTATTATTTATATTAGTTGTAATACACTTTATTATCTATCTAGTTTTGATTTTCTTCGAGGATTCTTTGAAATAAAATAGAATTGAGATGTTTTTCATTGTATGGGGCATGCTGCAACAAAACCAGACAAAGTGAACATTGGTATAACCAAGAATTTCAGGTATCAAAATCTAGTCATTTGTAATGTGATCAGTTTTACAATATCCCATTTGTTATCTTAAGTGATATATAGAACTATCCCCCTATATAAAAATAGTAATATGAAATTAATTTACATTAGGTCTACTATGGAGCCCAAGAATTACAACGCCATTAGAAGTATTTTAAAAAAGGAACAAGGTGAAAATATTGCTCCTTATGTTTTCAAAATAAATGATACACAGACACTTGAAGCTTATCTAAGAAAAGAAAGGATTACTTATGAAATTTACCAAGAAGAAGGAAAAATAATAAGTGTTAGAAAAAGAAAGCATCATGATGATGTATTATTACCTAATAAAATGCAAAAACCTTTAAAAAGAAATTACTACCATTTTCTTTGATAGTTGGAATGAATTTCAATTTATACAGAAGGAAATTTCCTCAATTACTTTTTTGTTTTCAATCAAGATCATCTTTTAGTCTCTTTAACTTCAATTTGAGCAATTTGTCCATTCTGTTGTTGCAATTGGGTTAATTGAACTTTTAAATCATTGATTTCCTTTTCTTTAGCACTTAATTTATCAATTAGTTCTTTAGGGGTTAATTTTTTTAATCTTTCTAGTTCAGTCTCTAATTCTTTCATTCTATCCAAAA